TCTACGCAATGTAAACTTACAGATCTAAAGCAGACTCTCAATGAGGGTTCTGTGGAACACCAGGGTTCCTAGAGGTTGCTGGGGATTCCTTGAGCAATGACAGCATGATCTCCCACCTACATTGACTACCAAGGCAGCAAAAAAAAAGGAGAGATATCGCTGAACTCAAAAGGTTGGTGGAGCTATTCAATAGTAATGTAATGATGTTCGTGATCTGGTTACTAGGCACATGGCTTCTAAATTTCAGCAGATCTCCACAGGTTCCCTAGTTTGTACAGGAAAACAGCAAGAAGAAGAAATGAAGCACCACATCACTTTTCAGCGGTCCATATACAATTTTATTCCAGTAAAAGTCAAAAGAACCATAAAAAAGTAGCCCATGTGTCTTGGGGATCCAAAATACCCCTTCATCAGGATAAAAAACACAAGGAAATGTCTTTATCAATAACATTTCTTCAAAGTCAACCGTCCCAGTGTGATGGAGCAGTTCTCCAATGACCACAAATGTAAGCGGGGATATCGCCACTCTGACTGCAAACCTAAAGCGGACACATTTCTGGCACAGAGAATTTTCTGGCCAATATTATTCCATAATTTGAATGACTACTATTAACAAGGCAGTCAGCTTTGCCTGCTTGACATTATAGGTATGCCTTTTTTGTTCTCTTTTTATCTTTCAACAACTTACCGATTATGCTTTCTTACTGAAAAATGTAGATATGGGGCGGCACAGTGGCTAAGTGGTTAGCACCTCTGTCTGGCAGCACTTGGGTTGTTGGTTCAATTCCAAACCATAGTACCACCTGCCTGGAGTTTGCATGTTCTCCCTGTGCCTGTGTGTGTTTCTGCCTCCAACTTAAGACAACTGGGCGGCGGAGAAAGGCAGGAGAGGAGCAATGTATATAGTGAGATACCGCTAAATGTCACTGACGGTTTTTAAATGCAATTATCGTTTTTTTTTTTCCCCTTCGCTATATCTCCAAGAATGAGCTGTCATTCTCCCCTCTGCTAAAGGAAACTAACCCGGTAATTGCATTTGAAAACAATGCCAGTTTTTAAATGTAATTACCGGCTTCTTTCCCCTTCAGTATAGCTTCGAGAATGAGCTGACACTAAGGGGTGGGGTCACCCAGTGACATTACCCAGTGACCCCACCCCTTGGTTTCCTTTAGCGGAGGGGAGAATGACAGCTCATTCTTGGAACTATAGTGAAGGGAAAAAAAAGCCAGTAATTATATTTAAAAATTGGAAGTGACATATAGGAGCAGCGAGAGTGAGGGAGCCTGAGTGTACACACTGCTCCCTCACTGTATACACTGCTCCCTCACTGTATACACTGCTCCCTCACTGTATACACTGCTCCCTCACTGTATACACTGCTCCCTCACTGTATACACTGCTCCTCTCCTTCCCTCTCCTTGCACACACTGCTCTCTACCCCCTCCCCCCTACAAAGAGGACCTGTTGTAGGACTATTGGTCCCCTATGTGATATAAAATCATAAGTTAAATTAATTGATAAAAATACACATTAAAGTTAAAAGAAAAAAAAATTAAGCCTCCCCACCCCCACACACGCAGACATTTCGGTTTTCAGCCACGTGCGTTCTGACTTTTCAGTATACGTTTCGGTACCAGAATTTTCATTTCGGTGCACCACTATTTGGTAGGTTAATTGGCTTATTTCTAAATTGTCCTTAATAAGTGCCCGTATGACTGTGAGTTAGGGACCTTATATAGTAGCCTTCTTGAGGGCAGGGACTGATGTGAATGTGCAATATATATGTAAAGCGCTGCGTAAACTGATGGCACTATATAAGGACCTGTATTCAAATAAATATCATTTTTAGCAGACGTTCTCTGTGATCTCAAAATGATCTCCCGAGGTAAAAGGTTAAGGAAGGCTAATCGAACAGGTATCTACAACTCTGCTCTAAACCAATGTTTCTATGTTTCAATGTTTTAGGTAGGTATCTCTGAATGTACTAAAAGCAATGGATCAGCATGAAAACCATGCAACTACAATTTTCAGAATGGGGCCACCAATAGCTGCCTACATATTGTTGTCAGTTCTCCTTTAACCCCTTCCAGTCCGGACACTTTTACCCCCTTCCTGTCCAGGGCAATTTTCAACTTTCAGCGCTGTCGCACTTTGAATGACAATTGCGCGTTCATGCAACACTGTACCCATATGAATTTTTTACCATTTTTTTTTGAGACAGATAAAACTTTATTTTGGTGGTATTTATTAACCGCTATGATTTTTATTTTTTTTGCTATGTAAATGAAAAAGTCCAAAAATTTTGCAAAAAGTGTTTTTCTTATAAAATTTTGCAAATAAATAATATTTCATCATAAATCTTGACCAAAATTTATTCCGTTATCTTTTTAGTAAAAAAAAAAAAATACGCCAAATTAGTTTATAACCAAAAATTATAATTTTTAAACATTTTTTTTACATTTTTATATTATTTATTTATTTTTTTAACCATACTGTCACCCTAGCAGTACAGTGTCACCATGGTGACACTGTACTACTTGTGGGGGGTGATGAAGATTTTTTTTTTTTTTTTTTTTTTACAGTGATTGCTTTTACACCCATATAGGATGTAAAAGCAATCATTTCTCTTTCTCTCTGTGTGCATTCTTGCAGCCATTGAGAAATACTGTGTGAGCTGTGATTGGTCAGAGCTTGTCACATCGTACAAGGCTGTTGTGACTAGCCTTGTACCATGTGACCTCTGTGATCATTCACAGATTTCACACGTAATAAGCAATGATGTCACAAGTGACATCTTGCTTACTACTTTGCATGTGATCACTGATTGGCCAATCAGTGATCACATGATCGGGACCTCGTACAGAGGTCCCGTCTGACGATCGGTGTTTCACTGTGTCCGGAGGACATAGCGGGCACCGGATCGCGGTGCTGCGCTCTCCCAGGGAGCGCGCACAACTAGAAATAGCAGGTGCCATTTATGAACGGCAACCTGCCCCTGGAGTGCCACCGCCCTGCCGTTTAAAAACAGCAGGTGGACGGCAAGTGGTTAACACACAGTGGCAAGGCTTTAATAAAGGAAACTATGTCCAGACTATACATACTGAAGTATTTACAAATTCTGAACAACCAAAATAACTATTTTAAAACAAGCCTTCATTTACCTCTCGCTACTTATAAGCAACATGGAGAAATTCATTTTTAAAATTCTTGATAACGTCATGCATAAATCTGAATCCCACAGCTACATGTATTAAAGCCTAAGTGCAGCCAAAATAAAAAACTAAAACATCAGCACAAGGAACATAACTTACAGTCAAGTAGTATGTGTCTCTTGTTCTTATGCCTCTTCTGTTAGTTGAAATCCTCTTCTGTTCATGGCTCCCCCCACTCTGCCACTGTAACCTTTCAGTGCGGCACGGGTAAAAACAACTAAGGGGCTATCACAGGCGATCCAGACTACGACTGTCCTTTCCACCCAGTTGCTCCATTCATAGAAGACATACCAACGATTCTATGAATGAAACCGGATCTATGAATGGAGGGGGTGAAGCTTTCAATCATCCACCTGCCCTCTACTCACATATCCTGTTTCATTCATAGAAGCTTTACTATGGCTTTTATCAATGGAGCAGTTGTTCTGAAAGTGCAAACATAGTAGGACTCACTTGATGAAAGTCTGTGACAGCTCATCAGTTCTGTTAACCCCTGCCATACTAAAAGATTACAACAGCAGAGAGGAAGGGAGGTTGGGGGGTATGGACAAAGGAGGAATTTCAACTAACACATGAGACATCAGCACAAGGGACGTATCCAATTGACTGTAAGTTGTGTCCTTCTGATGATTGTCAGCTTTTTTTTTTTCTTCTTTTGGCTGCACTTAGGCTTTAAAATCAAATGCAATAATGCACATTTTCACTATGCTTGGTGTGAATATAAAAGCTCCCAAAGGCTTATCTGTCTGCTCTACCCTTTACCTGAGAGTCTATGGAGAGATCTATAGACGTCTATAGGCAGAACAGCTAGAAATGGCAAGGTACACAGGGTGGAAGTTTAAAAAACTATTAAGATAAAAATATTGGAGCAGTCATTGCCATGTTGCTATTGATGGTGCAAGTACTGGGGCCGCCATACTTGTCTTTGCTTCCCTGCCTAGTGAATCAACTACCTGGAACAAGCATGTATTTTTTATGTGTTTAGACAGCAAATATGCACACACTGGAGCACATGCTCCAAAACAAGGCACCCATGATAGTCCCAATATTTTGTATTAAAAAGGTATTAGAGTGGGCATTATAGACTCCACTTTCTTCATACCACTCCATGAACGGGTTGTGGCATTAGCTTTTAAATGTATACTGTTCCTTATGATACACCAGTAATCTGAACAATGTCATCTGTAATATTTGTGGATAAGCCACTTGCTAGCAAGATAGTAGTTTTCATGCAGTAATAAGGTCTTATGCACACTGGAAGTTTGGCCATCTCTCCTACATGCCTTTCCTCCTGGCAGCAGTGTTTTGTCAGAAAAAAATGCATGACGCTTGTAAATCATGTAACGCATTTAGGAGCATCAAACACTTGGCATTAATTCATTTCATTTTCCGGAATACTTTATTCTGGCCATTGAAATGAATTAACACTCAAGCATTAAACCCATCTAGTGTTGGCACATTTAAAAGCATCAAGGGTTTCTTCTGCTAAACAATTCTTCTCCTGGAGGCTCTGGCAGTGGGGGGTTTTTTCTGCCTCGAAACACCTGTGTGTACATGGAGTCAAAGACTAACATGCTTGGGTGTTTAGAGGCAGGGAGAAAAAAAAAAAAAAACACCAGAAGGCACTAACAGCAGTGTTAAAAATTTCCAGTGTGCATGAGGCCTCAAACATTCCTAAACCAAAACCCACAAATTAAGAAAAATATAATTCAAATTACTTTCAGTGGACTAGATGTGTTGAAAGCATTCCACACAATAAAAACAAGATGAATCAGAGGATGACATTACCTGTTCCATTTAGTGTACCATTTTTATTGGTATATTGTCTTAGCATGTGCCCAATTGTTCGAACGTTGTCTCGTAGCATTATGCCTTGAGCTTGCACCATGAAGAGGTAGGTGTTTGCTGCAAAAAATAAAAATAAAAATGGAAATCAGACTAACGGCAATATTTCAAGAAAAAAAAAAAAGACTTCTAAATATCATTTTATAAAAGGCAGAACAGCAAAACACTTGAAATACATATGTAAAAAGTGTGCTATCTGGATTTACACAGGCACTCTAACCACATTGCCTGGTCCTGAACCCGGACCTACAGCCTGGTCTAGGATCAGCCACATCCTTTGATTGCACATTGAGAGAGCTGCTACACATGGATTAGGTAATCCTAATTGCTCTCCTCTCCTGGAAGCATTTTCAATGTCATAAAGCCCTGATTGGTTCATGATATTGCTACTCCCTCTTCAAGGTTGCACACCATTGTGTGGAGTACAGGAGACTGATTCCAATACAAATGTAAGGCTTTATGCAAGTTCATGTTTGGAACTGATGACTCTACACCAGGAAAAGGCACCAATGTAGGTGGAAAAGGTAAACTATAATGTGACTTCAGGACTACTCTGCCTTTGGTGACGAGTTACATTCAAACTGGAATACTCCTTCCAACATGTACCATATGGTGAAATGATACATATATCAAGATGCAGCAATTTCATTTTTATTCTAATGAATTAAATGGCAAAATGATGGCAGTTTTATATCAAGTTTTGTTTACCATGATCGATGGGATGCATACATTATCAGCTTTACAAAAAGGATAGTACAATGCTTTGACTTCTTTAAGTTGTGTTATAACCCCCCTATATTAAAATACTGGTGTTGCTGTAGAAATAGTACCAAAGACAATCAGAGTGTATTCAAAGGAAAAAACAAATAGCAATGTTTTAAGAGTTACTAAACCCAGGACCCTGCATTCACTATATCTGGTCTCCCACAGTACACAGAAAATATATTTAGCAGTTTATATTTACTAAAATAATCGCATTGCTCATCAGCAGTATTTAGCAGCCTAGCTGAGCACTGGTTGAAGCTTCTAGGAGGAGTTTTCATTTTCCTCTGACTGTCCTATGAGACTGCACGACACCTTAAACTCTGTCTGAACAGTGCTGGCTTGCCCTGTGCTGATCACATGAACCCCCCCCCCAAAAAAAAAACTCTCTAGCAATACACACTAAACTGGTCATGTGCAGCTTGCCCCCAAAGCTCTGTTCTATCAGCAGATGAACTGGGACAGTAGGAGGGGAGGATCAGAGAAGATAGGATCAAACAACCTTTCTATACAATGCAGAGGATTGCTATCCCCGCTTCAGTCGATCCTGAATACGGCTGCCAGACTCATTCACCTTTCCAACCGCTCCACCTCCGCCACCCCCCTCTGCCAATCCCTCCACTGGCTTCCGATTGCGCAACGGATCAAATTCAAAATCCTAACACTGACGTACAAAGCTGTCCACCATACTGCCCCGTACTACATCACTGACCTAATATCCAAGTACCACCCAGCACGCACACTCCGCTCCTCACAAGACCTCCTTCTCTCTAGTTCCCTGGTCTCCTCCTCCCATACCCGCCTCCAGGACTTCTCCAGGGGGTCACCCATCCTCTGGAACTCCCTGCCCCAACCCATCAGATTATCACCTACTCGCCTCTCCTTTAGGCGCACCCTGAAAACACATCTCTTCAGGGAAGCCCACCCCACCCCCTGCTAACTTGCCGACCTCCTCCACTCTTCCTACCACCCCATCCCCCACAGCTATCTCCTCCTGTGCCACCACCCCCTCCCTCCTAGATTGTAAGCTCGAAAGAGCAGGGCCCTTGATCCCCTCATGTTTTGCATTGTATTGGTATTGTTCTGTCACATGTTCTGTCCCCATTTGTAATGTACAGTGCTGAGCGAACTATTGGCGCTTTATAAATACTGTATAATAATAATAATAATTAACCCTTTAGGTTCCACAGTGAGTATAACAAGCATGTTTTGCTGCATATACAGACTGATTTTACTGTTGTGTGTTTAGTAACACTACATTTTCTTGATATTATACTTCAGCTGCCTGTGAAATAATAAAGCTATGCCATAGGTACGTTCACGAAAAGAAAAAAAAAATATCACATGGCACATATACATTGCATTTTTAACTGTTTGATTAATAGATGTTGAACATTTTCATATACACAAAGTCAAGGACCGCTTGTGCCAGAGAATATTCCCATTTTAAATATGTTTCTAAGGTTTGTAATGGCAAAATGGTCAAGGTTTAATGGTTTTCTTTTTTGTGTAAGGGTCAGGATCAGCATATTGATAATTCTTTACAATCATTAGTACTTGTTCATATCAGCAAGTATTACTGCAGCACGGTCACTTTGCGTGAACTGGGTAAAAACAGTGTGACTGCGCTAATTACTGTGTATCGCACGGTTTATTTGGGGGAACTTTATTGAAGTGACATTTCATCCTGTACTATTGCCCACAATGCAGCGCATTCAGTGCTTCTTTTTCAGTGCACACTACTGCTGGCCACATAGCAAAGAAGGTTTTTGTGCCTTATCATGGGTCAGGATTCATCTGGCAAGAACAAACCCTTAAAGTGCTGTTTGGGCATGGAAGATTAGTCCTTCTGAAGTTTTAAATTTTTTATATGAATATTATACATACGGTACACCATATTTTTGTTCATATTTGTTGTAATAAACACATTACAAATGAACAAGGTGGTAACCAATATTTAAATTGTCATCTTGTGATAGGTTTACTTTAAATATGTAACAGCATATTGGCATCATTTTGTGTCCACCACACAGACACGGCATCTCCAGGTTACATCGCTCTGTTTACTTCTCGGATTCTCTCTAATAAATCAATCTGTTGCTCAGCGTACGGTTTTACCTCCCCTGACTACTACTGGGAAAAACCTCAGAGACCATTGTTAGCAGCACCAAGAAACCCTGGCAGATGCCCAAGAAAAGCATCACTAAGTTAATTATACAGTCTCCCAAGGGGAGTAATCTCTTACTAGCGCACAAAGCAAGACACGAAAACCTGAACACCACTGGGGCTAACTGGCAATGCAGATGTTAATGACAGGTCCACTTTAACACTTCACCTGCATTATTGGGGCACATGTCAAACATTCCCATTTTTGAGGAACAAAAAGCCTACTCCTTTCCATTAAATAAAATAAGCTGTTCTAAACACGCCTAGGCAAAGATCACATGGCCTCTAGCTAGCAGGAACACTGGGAGTTTCATGGCGAAGTCTGCAGATGGCCTGCTGCTGTCATTTTCATAGATGCTGCCTTGCAGCTTGCAATGAGTTCAGAGAATCAGCAAGAACATCACAGTGCACTTGTGCTAAGCAGGAGGAGAGGTTACATATCCACTGAGCAAATACAGCTGCCCAAGGCACAAACATAATTACTAACCATACATAGAAACCAGGTTTAAACACATGAACACGCAATGATATGTACAGTAGATATTCTCTTTCATGTGCATATCTTTTAAAAGCAATTCAACTTAAAAGCTCTTCTTTATCCAGTTGTGGGCCTTGGGTGTATTACGTATGCCTTAGGCACCATGTACACGGGGCGTTTCTGAACAATGGAAACTGACTGCTGGAAAACAAAGGATAAAAAACATCCGTTTAGCTGCGTTTGCATAACGTGTTTATGCGCGTTTGCGTTTAGAAGCGTTTTGTAAAGATAAGCACAGGAGAACCTCCCAAATGTCCAGAATGCACTGAAAAGTGGTAAATTATTAACTATTTCAGACTGTTTCAGAGAAATACACACAGTAGAAGCAGAGACAGCAGTATATGTTGAGATAATTAGCCGCGAGTTGCTCATTAACATTTCTTTTGTTTCCAAGGGTGGGAAGGCGTCTGCTGGAGTCATTAAGGCCACCTGGCAGGGGGTCTTCATGAAGAATTTAAGGTGTGAATGGTCATTAACATACCTTTTGTACACGGGACACTTCTGAATGATGGAAACTGACTGCTGGAAAACGTAGGTTAAAAAACGTCTGTTTAGCCGCGTTTGCATAACGCGGTTATGTGCGCTTAGAAGCGTTTTTTTAAAGATAAGCACAGGAGAACCTCCCAAATGCCCAGAATGCACTGAAAAGTGGTAAATTATGAACTATTACTATACTATAGTAGAAGCAGAGACAGCAGTATGTGTTGAAATTAGCTTACGTGTGAGTTGCTCACTAACATTTCTTTTGTTTCAAAGGGCGGGAAAGGTGTCTGATGGAGTCATTAAGGTCACCTGGCAGGGGGTCCTCATGAGGAATTTGAGGTGTGAATGATCATTAACATATCTTTTGTTTTCAAGGGTGGGAGAGATCTGAGGTGTGAATTGGTCATTACAACGTGTGACAAGCTTGGTAGGAACATCCTGTGTTAAGTGTTTTGTCCATCTGTGCACCTTCAAAACTCTTTGCATGCATTTTTCATGATGAAAAAAAGCTCTGGACAGCATTGGGAACTGGAAGCGTTAAAAAAAAAATTTCAACCGCAAACACTTATAAACGTGGTTTGCTGCGTTTAGACGCATTTACAAGCGTTTTGCGTTTGAAGCACTGATAAAATCAACGTCTAAAACGCAAGTTTGTTGCGTTGAAAAAAACGACTGTAAACTCAACTGCCTGTAAACGACTGTAAAAGAAGATGTGTACATGGACACATAGGAAAACAGAGTGAGTTCATGTGCTGCTGGAAAAAACGCTGAACAGCTCCTAAACGTGAGTTTATCAGATGCAGTGTACATGAGCCCTTAGAAAACTTCTATAAATCTCTTTTGGTATACTTGGTACACCTTGGTCCTCCTTCACTACCACAGCCCTGGAACTGTCCAAAATTGCCGTGATCAGCAGTCATCTGAGAGACAGGTCGCTATCTGTGTTGCAGGAGCATGCTCCTGGAATAAAAAGAAGTCTCAATGATGGTGGCCCCTTCTCATATAAGTTCTTGTGATATGCCTTCTGTCTCCCATTGGGTCATATGTGCTCATTTTTTGTCCCTATCACACCTCTGTTTGGGGCTTTTGAGGGAAAAGGTTTAAAATTTCAAC